CACAGATACATTTAAAATACGGTGCACCGATAAAAGTCATTAGCGATAACGGAAACAATTCATTAGTCAAGTATTTGAAAACATATGCAATGGACTTGGCATACGCCATATCAAAATGGTTCCGTATAGACCACAGGCTAACATAGCAGAAAGAGTTAATAAAAACACAGTAAAAAAATTCGCAGTTACGTGAGCACACTCACAAGCGCTGGGATGGCTACATAAATGAATTAGCTTATGCTTTAAGAACGGCAAACATCATGATACTACGGGAAAAACTCCAGCAGAATTATTTTAGGCAGAAAGTTAATTACGCCTTTAGATAAATTATTCTTTGTGCAACAAAGAGAGCAGGAGTTTAAACAACAAGATGTGCAAAAGTTGATTGATCAGGCGCTTAAACCTCGGATACGGCAAGAGATAGACAAAAGTTATATTATGATAGAAAACGCCGTGAAGCAGATTTTAAAGTTGGGGATAAAGTATTGAAGCGGAAATTTTCTTTATCAAGTGCCCCAGACAATTTTATGGCAAAGCTAGCTCCAAAGTTTGAAGACCCCTATGTAATTCAGGAAATCAAGGGGTAGTATTATATCTAAGAACGACAGAGGGAAATCTGTAAAGCAAGTCCCGACCAGGTGAAAAAATACTATAATCCCAAATGATTTTGAAATCCTTAAAAGTTTCTTGCAGGACTCAAGTCTAAACGAAATAGAAGGGCCAGAGACTGCAACAACTATTCCACCACCCAAGAAACGGGAGAACTGAAGAGAGACCTAGCACTTCTACAACCCGGACGTCGGTATCAAAAAGAAAAAATGATTTTCAAACTCCGGCGTTTAAGAAAAACAAAATACAGATGAACCGGGTAAAGAAACCGTGGTAAAGACGAAAACACCACCTACAAAGGATGGCAGGAGAAATTACACATCAAGGAGAACGCGCAACACGGCCACAGAGTCAGGTGCCAGCAAGGCCGCCGTTCCGGAAACTGAAACCGCCAGCAGGAGGCACAAAAATACGAGGAACAGAAGAAATTCAAGAAGGACTCCAGACCGGAGGACGTCAAGACCAGCCGTCCCAGGCAGAACGCAAAGGCCAACAACCAGACGATTACTCCGTCAAGAGGCCAGCATGTAGAGGACGCAAAAGAAAGAGCAACGTGGACGACACTTGGAGATCAATAAGGAGAAGATTGACATCCATGAAACCTCTAACTTGGGATCAATTTTGCCAAAAACGGATGACGGAGTTTCAAGCATCGAAAACTCAAAGATAAGTTAAAACCTTCTATAAATTTTTTTTTCTCTTTTGTTCCGAAATGTTATGCATAAGTACGAAGTTCTATGTTTTGACGAAAGTCAATATGTCTCGGTTGAGACTTAGTTTGTTTTACTTTATTTAGCTTTTAGGCAAAAGTATTATTTTCTTTAAGTGTAAAAGCTAAAATCAAAGCATTTTCTGTTGGTCGAAAGACTAATTCTGTTATGTTAAAGCCAAAATTTGGCCGAAGATAAAAATAACTTCGTATTCTTGTATTAATAAGAATTTTAGTTTCAGTGCCGCCAGCTTGGCGAAGAATGAGTAAAGTAAAAATTTATTTTCTCTTATTCATTTTATGGTAAATTGTAAAAAGCATATGTATAAAATTTTGTAAATGTATGTAAATACTTGCATGTTATGTAAAAGTAGAATTTAGTCTAGAAGCATAAAATTGTAGATGCTAAAAGTGAATGCTTAAAAGCAAGGAAGTCAAAATTTAAGTATTAAACTGTAAAGTCATGCTTTAGAGCGAAAGCCTGCATGTTTAAAGATGAATGAGGGGGAAGTTAGAATAAATGTGTTTTTAGGGTTCTCCATCTACATTTGAATTTTTAAGAATATTAAAGTAGCTCATTGAGTTGTAGAATGTCGAGTAAGGTGTGTCTATTTGGTGGTTGAATTCTAACAAATCATGGTGGTTAGGGGAAGTGTTGTAAGACTAAAACACGAATATTCCCGTTTGACACCACACACGGTGGAGAGCCAGGGTAAAGTTAAATTAATGCTTGAAAAATTGAATGAATGTGAAGGAAGCAATAACTAAGAAAAAACGAATCGTTTAAAAACAAAAATTTATTGTGTCAAGAAAGTGTAAATTTATAATGTATGTAGAAAGATACTGATACTTATTCCTTCCAGATGCTGGAAGGAAAGACCAAGATTGATTGATGAAGTCCAGGAAAAGTTGCTGTAAGAAGAAAGCTTTGTAACGAGTAACAGAATTTTAGTATAATTGTTACATAAGATTTTTTTTTTTTTTTTTTTTTTGTGTAAACGAGGTCTCCGCCAGTTAGTTCAGAATTAGATAAACTTTACAACAGGTCGTTTGTAGGACCTGCTTCCAAGTTTTCCAAATTCTGGCAGCGGCAAATGTAGGGTTTATATTTATTTTAACTAACATTTATTTTAAGTTTTAAACTATCTTTCCTGTCAAGCCTTACTTTCCCCTGGAACTGCCAATGCCAGACTATGTAAATTTGAGTAGAACGCGCAAGGATTCAAATTATCAGCGGAAGTATTCTGATTTAAATAGAAGGAAACAAGTTCGGTGTGAGAGATATTCTTACTTAGCGAGCGCGGAGGTAGTTAGCGAGAATTGAAGAACCCCGCGTTGCGGCCTATGTGCTTGGCGGGAAGTAGTGGAAATTGTTCCAGTGAGCTTCAAGTCTGCTGAATTAGCAGCGGTATTGTAAAACACGGTGAGTAGTTATTTTAGAGAGCCTCGTAGTTAGAATCTTGTCTTTACTTTCTTTTCAGGTTATTATTTTTATTTGACTGCCAAGTAGGCACAGTCTGTAAGCGTCAAGAGGACGCAATTGTAATTTATTACGTTGAATAAAAAGGGACTTAAACCCTTCAAAAGGCTCTATCCTTTATACAAGTTTTCACAGTCACCTCTTGGTTGCGTGCAAGTTGGAGGCGCGCAACGTTATAATATAATGCTGCGAATTGTGTTTATATGTAATAATTTTAGAGAAGTTACACGCAGATTCTAGTATCTCTTGCATAATGTAACATGAAAGGTCTCAGAGTTTGAAGCATTGCCGGAAAAACAGGCTTACAGGCCTAAGTCCATTAAACATTGAGGTAAATAGTTACGCCAAGTTGGCGATGATTTTGGTGACTGATTTTTGTCTCCAAATATGGCGGCATTTTGGTCCGATCTCTGCAACTGTAACTGCGTGTGTCTTCCAGCATTTTCGAGAAATCAAAGGTACCAAAAATTTCCCAATGGACGGGGGAAAATTATATAACTATATATATATATATATATAGTATAATATTATATGCTGATTAATTATATAAATTATATAAGCGTCAGCTGAGTTCAGTTTGATTGCCTTGTGTTCAACTTTCTAGCAGTTTGAAATCGTAACTACTGATTGTGATCTGTACTTCGAAGACCTATACAAGTACTTTTGAGAAAAGTTCCAGAACTGTAATGTATTTGTTTTCGTAAAACATTTCATCAAGCTTTCATCGGTTCCGTGTGCATTCAATCCATTACGAACCCGCACGCACGCAACAATATATTTTTTCAAAGAAAATATAAAACTGAAATCTTTGTAAACATCTATATTTTGTTTTTTAATGCCTAAGCAGCAAAACGTTAGGCGTATCGTCAGCGAAGGATGTGAAGGTGACGCAGAGACGGAAGTTCCGCTTGAATGCGAAGTCATTGAAGTGCATCTAATCAGGGTCACTTTTAATGCCTTTTACTCAAAAGGGTCCACGTTAGCAATTAAATTATTTAATAATAACTGCAAAGTAACCATGCATATAAACTCTATATTTGTGGGAGAAATGAATTCTTTTCATCATCACTTCTGGCGGTAGTCACTCAGGTCAGAGCACATCGCATACCTTCAGGCCTGAGTTAGGCAGTCAAGATGCTTAAAAAAAGCAAAATGCGTTTTAAATATTCTTTTTTGATGTAAAACGAAGAGAGTGAAACTAAGCCTCTTAAAATTATTCATGTTCGCTTCATGTGTTTTAAGAGAGTTCAAGCAACTTTTAAAGTTCTATGCATTCGTGAAATATGAGCTTCGTTATGAAGAGTTTATAGTGAACGAAATACAGGTATTCATAAAATTTTATTCTGCGCTGTTGCAATATTGCTCGTGTTCTGAAATTCTTCATAAAACAGATGTAGGGATTCGACATATTTAAATTAGAGTAGATTGAAGAAATGTGAAGAAATAAAAATCAGTTAATTTTCCGTAAGAGATAATTACTATTCCATGCTCTTTCCTAAGAATAAGATGCAAAAATATTATACGTTATTTTCAAAGAATGAACCTAAAAGTAGCATGTAGTGAATGTTACATATTGTAAAAGTAATATGTTTTAAATTTTGCATTTTACTTCTGGATTAAATTACACTTAAAAACTATGAAATAAATATAAGTATCCTAAATACGGTTTCTCATAATTTTTAATTGGTACTTTTTCGCAACGTACTTCCCACGCATTTTGGTGGTTTCTTAAATTGTAAACAATTTTTAATTACAAGAATAGTTTGCAGACACACACACACACACACACACAATGATAGCCTAGATGGCACTATTATTTGGTATCGGGGTGTGTTTGGCTTTCCTTTCACAGGCGCCGAAAAACCTGGCAGATGCATAACGGGAAAACTTTATTGCAAAGCATAGGATATCGCGAAGTTATAAAAGTGTTGATATAATAAAAAAGATAAACTATGATTTTCCAACAGATTTTTCAGTTTTGCGCTGATTTGCTTTTCAAGAATTGTCAGACCGAAATTTAATTGCTATTTAGAAGTTATTCAAAACATTACTTACAGTTTTTAATATAATATATTTTGAACTTTTTGTTCTACGAAAGTCGTGTACTAGGAAGTAATATATTTTAAATTAAGCTACAAAAGTTAAGCTTGGAAGTTTCTGTTATTTTCTGAAATTATGTGAATTAATGAAATAATTGCATACCAGGCAGAAGCGATATTGCACCATCTTTACACGTGATAATGACTGGAAGCCATCTTTCTACTCCCTTCTCAGCTCTCGTCACTGCGAAATTTCTTAATGACTGAAATGAGCTGAAGTGAATCATGCGAGATAATTCGTAGACTTGAGGTGGAGCTAGAAATACCGCATTCGTAGAGTGTTCTTCTAGCATTTCCTGAGGTGTGCACCACTGAAAAGAAAGAAGTTCACATTATTTATCAACGGAAGTGTGCTCTTGTAATTTAATATTTGTAATGTAATTTAAATAATATAATACAGATGGACAAGAGACGAATTTTATATTAAAATTAAATTCAAAATAGCATTATGTTTAAAAGTGTAAACGTTTTTTGCTAGTTCTCAGGTTTTAGATTTTTTTGAAGCAGGAGTCGTGAAAATGAACATATCCTCGCAGGGACTCGAACCTCTCGAAGCGCCGAGTGTGCTGACCATTACACCACGAAGGCATGGCAAGAAGGCGGGAGAAATACCTTATATACTACCCTTTTTAAAGGGCGACTGGGGGTCCAATCGGCAAATCCTGGTACTGAAGATTCATCATCCACCAACGTTTTTTTAGTTCGGGCGCCACTGTAGAGGCATAAGGATTTTTTTGAAGCTGAAGTCTTGTAAAATGAACAATGCCCTTCCTGGGACTCGAACCTCAGATCTCTCGAATATGCACCGAGTGTGCTGACCATTACACCACGAAGGCATGGCAAGAAGGCGGAAGAAATACCTTATAATTACCTCTTGGATAATTTTACTCATTTTATAAAACTATGTATCGATTTGTGGCTTAATGATCGATAATCAATCATAACAGTATTTCCAATACATTTGTAAAGTTTAGAAATCTTCTTGGCCTTCATAAACTTTAGATAGACTGGCAGCGAATTATCACTAAGTAACAACTAAAACTTGAGAAGGTGTAAAAGATCTTTATTTAAAATTAATAAGAACAGAAGGCACGCTTTGGGATTACAACTCAGCCAACCATTTGTGGCGAGATAACTGGAATAAGTCAATTTGAAATTTAATTTCAGATAAGCTAGTAGCCGAAGGCAACACAAATCAGTTTAACGCGAAGTTGGCTTAAAATTTAACCAGCGTAGAATTCAGCTATCGGCAATTATAATACAAGACCGAAGACTGTAAATCGTACCTTACGTAGCAACCTAGTAACGTGGCTCGAAAGTCAGAACATGCTCTGTCTAACAATCTAAAATCCTCACCTTAAATACACACGAACTAATTTACCTTCTGGCGAGAAAACGGTAGGAGAAGTGACAGTAAAGATCCAAAGCATAAAGTAGCTGTTTTAGAAAAAGGAACCTTATACATTCAAATGGAATTATGAATTTAAAAAGAAATTTTGCATAGGAACTTACTGTTGAAATGTGATGCATTTTCAAGGGTTAGAAATGTTCCTTTTAGATCGCTTCTTATTTAACCGTAATTGTCCATCATTGCTGACATAAATTATGAAACTGTCCAACAGCTTTTATAAGATTTAAAAATTGTTATAAGAATTGAAATGTCCTCTCTAATATAATGATTGTTATGATTTAAATAAATATTTGAAAAGTGTAGTATTTCATATTAAATCAACATTCATGCTTGAGGACTGATTGTATGCTTGTCGTTTTAGCTGATTCTGGAAGAAGGACGGAAACGCAAAACTGGCGTATAAATAGCCTCCAGACGTTTCATTCTTAGGTCCAAGATACGAATCTCAGCTATTAAAACTAAAGCTATTGCAAAGAGACACAGCAAACCACTGAAAATGAGGCCATGAGTATGCAACTTCTGCCTGGGAGTGGAATCCTACTGCTACCACGATAAGGTATACGTATACCAGCGGCACTAAAGCCTTTGGCACTTTGTGTTGCTGGTATAAAGGTATCGTTGCAAGTTATAAACTGACTATATCCGTTTTATCTGGTGATGCAAACTGATTAGGCATTTGGTACAGTCTGGCTTTTGGAAGATACTAAACTACAGAGGAGGAGCACTTTTATTCACACGGATTACGCAAAACATTATATTCTTTTGAAGCATGAGACATGAAAAATGTGCTGTGCCTTCGCCGGGACTCGAATCTTGCATCTTTCGAGTATTCTTGCAGTTATACCACGAAGGCATGCAGAAAGGAGGGAGAAAATACCTTACCTTATATAATCTGCTTTTTAAAGAGCGACTAGGGATTAGGGGAACCAATCGCCAAATCCTGGTGGTGACGAATTATCGTCCACCACCTTTCGGGAGCCACTTGTAGAGTTATTTTGAAGCAGGGGACGTGAAAAATGTGCAGTGCCCTCGTCGAGACCTCTCGAATATGCATCGAGTATACTTCCAATTAAAACATGAAGGCATGATGAAAGGAGGAAGAAAATACTTTAAGCTACACATATCAGTTCTTAGATTCCTATAACCATTAGATGATACTAATGAATTAAATGATATTAACGGGTGTAGAATTATTGGCCGTAAATAAGAATATTACGCAACCTGCACAGAATATATAACACATGAAGTGGCATATGAAGCATATATGGGCATATGATGTGGCACATGGAGTTTCATAGCAACATAGATGTGATGTCAAAAATTCCATTAACCTAGTAAAGATGTTATGTTAAGAAGGAGTCATATTTGGATACTCTGGTTTAGAAACGAAATATCACAAGGAATCCTATTTTTTATTATTTATTTTATAGTTATCATCAATATTATCAATTTTATTATTACTATTACTATTATTATTAATAGTAGTATTATAACTAATTATTTTTGATCATTTAATTATTGTTTAAAAGCTACATGCTCCTCGCCTTAACAGTCATTGTTTTCTCTTTTTAATTTTGGAACTGTATACATGAAAGCTATCAAATCTTTTGATTATGTGATCATCATAATTCAAGGATTTTTTTTATATTCTGTTTCCTTGTAGTATTTAGGTTCTAAGTCAGGGTATCCAAATATTGCAAGAAAATACAGTAAATTATTATTTTTGTTACCATTATTAATATTCTTATAGATACTACTATTAAAATTAATGCTATTAATTATTATTATTAATATTCTTATATGCTGAATATTCGTCGCCTTAATATTAAACTAATTGTAGGGAAAACTACAATTAGTTTCGAATCATTATGTCAACTACTGACTGTGTAACCACACTTTATTCTGTAATCTTGCCATGAATTCTTTTTTCCTGCAATATTTAAATATTCTGTTGAGAAGTTCGCATTGCTGGCTAAGAACTTATTTTCTTCCCTATGTTTTCCAGCCTTCCTTCAATCCTACGCTAGACAACAGCCAAGTTATATAACTCATCTTTGGTCCAGCATTTTCTTTAGGATAGTGCAACTGAAAGCTAAGTGGGTCAGGCATCCTTTTAATGGTGCATAGTTTATTAAACGCATAGAACAGTCGATTGCTTATCTGAATAGCACGTGCTAATTATTATTTTTTTTAAATCCCTTTTTCATTACATGTAAGATATTTTGCCATTACAGGCACATGCGTGAGTTAATTGTATTGTTTTTATAAAATTATCAGTGGCAGCAAAATTTTGAAATCTTAAAGCTAAGTGATAAGAGGCATAATAATGCAACGAAAGAGCAGATGAACGCCCACTCTGCCTATAATTCATTTTTGGCGGAAATGAAAATCAAAATATCGCTGACTGCAGTTCTGTTGGAATTAATCCAACATTGGCAGTGTTGATACGATAGGTACAACGGAAATTACAGTGCTTTTGCATGAAAGTTGAAGTATGAAGTCGAACGAACAAAGGTGGACTACAGAACAAGTTTTTTCACGCCTCTGATAGGAACAGAAGGAAAGCTACGCCCTTGGATTAGAAGAATTACTGAAACGTATACAGGTGCGGATGAGAATGTTCGGGCGGGAAAGCTAAAGACTTCCATTGGCAAACTAAAATTCTCCATTACAAAACTACTCTGTTGCTGATATTTTATGGCACCTTATCTTATTTGCTTACACACTTTAATTCTTTGTTAAATTTATTAGTATCATAAGGTTTTTAAAATTTAATTTTTACTTTACAGCGTTGTAACGAAATTTTCATATATATATATATATATATATATATAATTTTTTGGCATATTTTATACGAACTACTGTTCATCACGAAGTAGGATGTTTAGTATGCATGTAGCGAAGCTGAGAAAATTGTTTTTGACATCATTGCGTGAGCTATTTTCGAGCTGTCACGCGGTGAGGAAGAATAAAATGGCGAAAATAGTTCGCCAGTTGAAAGATGGTAATGATGGATGAATGATTAGTTAGCAAACTTTGGCTTGCTGGTTAGGCAGAATAAGTCGCTGTAAAGAAGATTTGTGAGAAATGAAGAATTTGTATTCATCAAATGGAGGTGTTAAACTTTTGGTGCCGAATCGAATATCGTGTGTGGAATTTTTGACCTGAATCCTCCACATCGCTTTCTATGAAAAGGCTGGCTTGAAGTTTATGATGATAGCGGATTTAAAGTTTTGCTCGTAGTGTGCCGTTACTTTACATTCAAAATAAACAGAAGAAACCTATGATTATTATGTTTTCGAAGCTAGAAACGTCCTTAATTTTTATTTTGAATTTTTGAATCGTTAAGATATGTTACATTACGTTCTAGGGAACCATGCAAATTTAAGAAATTCATGCAGGTAGCAGTGTTGCAGCTGTTACCAGATGTGAGATGACAGGCTCTGACATTGCAATGATTCGTTCAGTTAAGGCTCCACTTCCCACGACAAGAATCATAGCTTCACCGTTAGTGTCAATGGATTTTAGCGACTGCAGAGTTTCTGTCGCTAAAGTCTGTCGATTTCAAAGAGGCTGACGGACCAAAGATTCCGTTGCTCCTCTGATATCGTTCCAACTATAACAGATCAGAGGACGTAAAATACAACCAAAAAATTCAGAAGGCTTGACTAATTCAGGCTGCAAACTGTTTTAGACACAGCAAGAACTCAGAATGCTCTTAAACTCTCGACTAGAGAGACTGTTACCGCTGGTAAAATTCTCATATAATGAGGATAGTAATTTACAATAATCATTTCTATGTCTTCAATGTTGTTATGTATTGTTTGAGGTTTTCTCATAGATTTATATTAAACACATTTCTGTTCTGTATGGAGTAAGTAATACGTAACTTAGACAAAC